CCGGGGCATCCGCGCAGCGGGAGCGGCCCCCGCGGAGCCCTCCCGGGCCGGCCCCCGGCGCTGCCTGCAGCTGGAGCCGAGCGGGGAGTCCCCGGGTCCGTGACATGAGCGGGCCGGAGCTGGGGCCGGTCCCGCGGTAGCGGCGGCCCCGCATGCGGGAGGAGAAGCGGGCTCGTGTCCCTCTGTAGCGCGATGGCTCCGCGGGACAGCCCCGGGGCTCAGCCCTGCCCGTGGCACAGGCTGCCGGCTCCCGGCACAGCCGCACCGCCCGCGGCTCGCTCTGCTCTGCGGCTTGCCGGCTCTTGGTCAGGAAAAAAGAATTAGTGGGTTTTAATCTGATCCGTTACGTATGCCCTAGGGAAAGAAGACATACGAAACTCTTTCAAATTTTAAACTGTCTTGATCTTGAGTCTTATTACTAAAGAAAACTCTCCGAATGCTTGCTTTTTGTCACAAAGCAGTTGTCACTTAATGATTTATCCTTTATTTTCTGGCAGTATTTTTATGCTGACATGAAACATAATAAAGATGGCAAAAATTCTCGTAATGGCTTTAGCTGTGAAGTTTGCTTCCTTCTAATATATTATCCAGTTTTTCACAAGGACTGATCGGTCATGGGCAGGACTGATGTAAGGCGCTATGTATGTGAAAATTGAAAGTTGTCTTGATTTTAGTTTCAGTTTACTGAATTGCTTTGAAATATGCAAAAGCTTTTATTTTGAGCAGATTATGATCCCTTCAAAAAGGGCCTAAATGAATTAGTGGAGAAAGGGCTCATAAATGGGCTGGCTGGGAATGTACCTGCTATGTTCTTCATGCAGGAACGGTGGGACAGTGTCCAAACTTGTATATTCTGCCTGAATAGCTTCTCTGGGTGTCACCTTTGGAGACAGAGGTTGGGACTAAATGGGTCACTCATCTGATCCTCTGGGATGTCTTATGGTCCACTTGTATAACGGAATCAAAGCATGCCTCTAGGATGAAATGGTAAAACCTGTTTGCTGTGCAGATAAAACCTGGTCACTTGTATATCCTCCTGTATGATAGGAAGAGTTCGCAATACAGTAGCTTAAATTCTGCAGTAAAATCTATGACTTAACATTCACTTGCTCCATGTTTTTAACTCAAGTGACTGAACTGCAGGTGCTCAGCTTGCCCAAATTTATTGGTAGGTAGGGACAGAAGAGGCACGGTTTGTTTATGTGGTTGGGTGTAGATGCATTCTGGTGCCTCTAGCTTGGAGGCTGAGGAGCCTTTGAGATATTCTAGAAGTCATAATCCCAGGAGGAATCCAAGGACAAAGCCTGGTGGGTGCCAGCTGGAGCAGGCTGGTGGCAGGGCTGAGGTGCCCACATCTGTCCCACTCTCTTGGGCAGGGAAGGCTTTCTTTTAGGGGAAAGTGGCAATTTCTTAGTTGTTTACATCTCTGGCCTTAGAAATAAAAACTTCAATAGTAAGAAAAAGTACTAAGCAAGAAACAGTTCCTGTAACATCACTTGCAAGCCAAAATGAGTTTTACACAGAAGCTTGAAGGAGGTGAGTTGTTAGAGGTGCCCCAGTCACACAACAGGTGAACCTTGGGGCATTGGTTTCTGGAGAGAAAGAGAAGGAGCTTTCCAAGTGTTCAGAAGTCTTTCTAACACTGAGGCTGCACAGTTGCAGATAAATAAATGACTGTCATTAGGAAGGAACTCTTGAGAGCCGAAGGCAGGATTGTAAAAGTTAAGCTTGTGTATTTGCTTTGTTAGACAGCTTTTGTGTGTGTATATCTATAATAGTATGTCCTTTTCTAGAGCTCAGCTTCCTCTTTCTTTCTCTATCAGCTATTTCAAGGCCAAATGGTTTAACATTTCTCTGTGTGACTGTTGAACTTTCACCTACTTCTGAATGTATTTCAGCTTGTTGTTTATTACTTTCCTTTATAGGTCTGATAGCTGACAGGAATACCTTTCTAATTTTGAAATCTCTGAAATGTACTTTTTCCCCACAAACTTCACATACTTCAAATAAATTAATTGTCTTTCGCTCGTTTTGAAATGGATTTAAGACTCAGATGATTGAGTGTAACCATTTCTTGTTAGGGATAATATGTTTGTTTACTCAGTGCATTAATAATCACTGTGAATAAAACAGAATAGGGCTTTCACTGGCTTCCAGCATATTAATGGTAAGGTTTTTACACTTGCATGTAGAGTTTTGTCCCAGTCAGCCATAAATTTCTTTACAAGCTTGGGACTGAGTCAGTGTCCTGGCTCATTGTGAGACTCCAACAAACATTCAAATATAATCAGGTAGTTTAAAAAGTGTGTAATGCTTATAGGGCAGTTTCTTTAAATAGGTTTCAAAACATACTACAGGAGGGAGCTGATACTGTTATCCTAGTCTTAAACTGGGGGCAACAGAGGTAGGAAGAGCTGGAGTGCTGATCTGATGTCACAAAAATTCCAGTGAAGGAGCTGAAAACTGAGATGACCTTTCAGAGCCTTGTTTCTGTGCCCTCTTTAATACCCTGTGCTGCCCTGGAAAGAAAATAAATAAACTGAGACTTTAATGATATCAATGAATTGATGTGAAAATGCTTACCTGAGAAAGGGTAATTTGCCCATCACCCATCTCAAAATGGGGCATGATAACGTTTTTACGTAAAACTGTGATATAACACAATTTGAGATTGGAAATTAAAAACTTTTTTATATACATTTATCTATACAGATACATCAGAACTCAGCTTCACTGAAATTTGGGAAGACACATAAAGTTAATTACAAGATTGAGCTATAGATTTAACCATTGTAATTTTATCAGTTGGTGTTTATTTAGAAGTGTCTAGAGCAACACTTGCCAATTCTGCTGTAACAGCAGTATTGATAACAGGCATTTTTCACTTCTCTAACCACTCTCCCTTAGATGAGGAAAGAGAGCAGCACATGTTTATTCAAGTACTTTGAAGTAAGTTATTTCTGAACATCACTGTCAAGACACTTGCTATTCTGGTGCATGGCAAGGAAAGAGGGATTTTTTTTGGAATCAGGGCAGCTGTTAGCAAAGGTTTGGAAGAATAAATGGGTTAACCCCCAACAGTTGGCCATCAGATAGATGTAGATGGAAGAAAGCAGGCAGCTGTACAAGGCAGAAAACTTCTCATCAGCCAAGTGTTTCCTTTGTGCTTCTTCTCCACTCACTTTTGGAATAAAATCAACCAAGGGATATCAACACTCAGGAGTAAAGAAAACAGTGTTCGTTCTTTCTAACATTTTAATTTCTCTCTGCCCACATATTGCAGAGTGTTTGATTTCTGGACAGATGAAAGTCATAGTTGTAGGCAATGAAGTAAGTTGCTGATGGTTTTGGATGCAAGTTTTAGAACTGATTTACAGTAAAACAAGTTTTTAGTTATGGCAGGTAGGTCTCACAGCACTGGCACCCGAACAGAAACTGAACCACGCCGTAAGTCCTTTTTGCAGGAACAGGTAATTTATATTGCTGTAAATCATGTCTGAATGTCTGAATGCTTGCATCATGTCTGAATAGGTATGTGCACAAAACCTTACATTAATATGTAATCTAGATTTTGCTTCCAATTAATAAACTGAAAAACAGTCTTCCTGGGGTTTTTTTCAGTTCTAAAGGAAATTCATAAAACTAAGAGCACTTGTCTTTGAAAACTGTCTTTCTCTAATAATATTAAAAAGAGATGTTCTTTACTGGCAAACAAGATACTTGCATTGAGAATTCTTTTTGTAAAATCACCCCTAAATAGGGTAAATTGCCTGAAATGCACACAAAACAATATGTTCCACACACAGCTAAATGTGGAAATGATCCTGTTTATTTTTCACTAATGTTACTGCCTACAGACATTATCATTGGTGTTTAGCCTCTAATGTTTATGGAAGTGTCCTTTTCAAAGCAATGCCAGAACTGTCTGGTGTGTGTGTGTCTTTTAAGGTGGGAAGTTGAGTTTTAGGCAGTTCAGCCTGGCAGTTCCGGCATCATTACTCAGTTGAGTCATGAGTGAGATTTGGCTGGGTCCCAAGTAGTGCTGGGTGTAGAAGGAGCCTTAGCTGTTTGCCTGGTTCCTGATCCCCCCAGAGCCTGAAAGGTCAGTGCAGGACCTTGGCTCTGCCCGGCTGGGAGGGCACTGGAGGGAGCAGCTGATGGCTCTGGAGGGTGTTGCCTTTGTGCGCTGCAAGCGCGACCTGTCGCAATCATTCTGGGACTAAAGGGCAGAGCCAGGGTTAGCCAAGGAAGTCATCTGAGGACAGAGAGTCCCAAAGTGTTGAGTAGTGCTAGAGGTCACTGGATATTTGCAACAAAAACATCTGGGTTACTTTTTTGCAATACAGAACACATGACAAGTATGGAATTCAAGTCCTTGAAGATTTCATGAAATTATCAGCTGAGGAGCCAATAGAAAAATCCATATAATTTAGACAGATATTGATGGTTAAAGGTGAAGTAATGGTGCAGTATTTGATTCATTCTGCCCTGACTCCTTTCTTCATTTACTGAAAAATTTCTCTTACATCACTTAAATCTTTCAGTATCTGGTACCCCATATCAAAGAATTTACCAGAAGGAAAGTGTCAGTCTTGAACAATTCAATCCCTAGGAAGTGCCTGAATAGTCTTTACCTTAAAATCTCACTCGTGGGAATGTCCTGGGAAAGAGAAGAAGATTTTGCTGTAGTGGGAAGACTTGCAGCTGTGACCCAGAGTGAGTGATGTGCTGTGCCTGTGGCTGGCACAGCAGCTCTGGGACAGTTGCCCAGGCTTTTCATCTTTATACTAGCTCCTCTTTCTTTCCTGTGGTCTCTTTACTTCCCCCTTTTCCTTATGCTTTCTCCTCCTTTCTGCTAGCTTTTAGTATTACAACACTGTCTGCTCTCCCTTTTCATCAGGGAAAGCAGGGAAATCTCCTTCTCCTTCTTCTCCTTCTCCCTCTCTTTCTCCTTTCTCTTTCTTTCACCTTCTTTCTTCTTCTTCTCCTTCTCCTCTTCTCGCCACAGCCACACACACACATAATCCCCAAATATATTGTTCACATTTGATAGCCTACAGCAGCCCTGCAGGTTGTAACTGGAAGGGAGGTAAGAATCTCAGCTACCAGCAAAGATCAAACCCATTACTGCTCACAGGAGATGAGCAGTTCCAGTTTTATCCCGGATTTAAGGCAATCCAGCTGCTGCCAAAAGGGCTGGTCCCATCCTTTCCCCTGCCCCCTCTTTCCTGCCTTGGGGTATCAGTGAGGTGGTGACATGGCTGAAGTTCAGTGTTTCTTTGGCTCTGCTGGGTTTGTCTGCTTGGGTTTGCTCTGGGTCTGCTGGGTTTTGCAGCAAGATCATGCTCTGGGGCTTCCAGGGACACCACAAGAAAGGTGCCAGGGAAGAACAGGCATCAGGATGGGCAGGACTGTCCTTTGAGTGGCAAGGCACTCCTAGAGGAGAGTTGGCCAACCACATCTTCTGCCAGGAGTATTAATACAGACTGCTAAGATATATATGTATTTATATATTTTAACATTTAGAGAGAGGAAAAGAAAAAATATATTTGTGAGAACTTTGGACAGGACCGGCTCTTTGCCAGCAAAAAGTGCAATCCTGATGCCTTGTAAATAACAAGCCAATAGGCTGATTAGGCAGATTGACTAACAAGGAATCTATCTGATAAATGCTTGGCAAAAAACCTGCTCACGTCTGATAAATAATTAGGGCTGTTGCATTTGTGCCCTGATGTAGAAAGCACTTGGATTCTTGGAAAGAGTGGCCTGTTACAGGAGGAATAGACATGAAAGAGCATGGTAGGCTGCAGATGGCCAGGGTGCTCTGTGGTTTGAAGAACAGGGCAAAACATTTCTTGGTAAACACCACTAACTAGCCTTGAAAACAAAACATTCCTGATTCCACGGAACATGTGGTAATCTTGTCTACGAAGATTGCAAACTAAAGTGGGAGAAAACAAAAATGAGATATCTATTGCAGCACAGGCTAAATAAAATCTACAAAAACATTATTTTCTTTAGCAGGCTTTCTAAAACTGCTTCCCAGTGCTTACCTCCCCTGGGAACTTCCACAGGGCACAGAGAGGAGCAGACCTTTATGTGGTTACATCGGTGGCAGCCCAACCATTTGTGTGCCAGATTATTAATAGATGCATTGCTCTTCAGATTCCAAACTGGTCCTGGGATTTCCTGTGGGAATTTTAAGTAATGGTGGGAGAAAAACACGGGCTGAGACTCGGAGATACAAAGAGCCTTGTGAAATCAGCATTTCTTCCTGCCGCGTGGGTATTTTGTGTTTCTTCTCCCAGAGAGAAGACTTGCAGTATGAAGAAATTATATCCCATCCAAAAAGCAGCAAGCATTTTAAATTCTGGATTCCTACCAAACCATCTCAGCAGGGTGATGTTACCACAAGGCAAGAAAATAAAGTAATTTTTTTTAAATTCTTGTTTTGAAAGTGGATTCCTCTCCCAGGTCACATAACAGCCCGCTGTGTTTGGTGTAAATTTTGGGGTTTATTTAAAGATCAAACTTTTTTCTACAGCAGTCTGCAGTGGGAGCTGTGCAGGGCCTTTTCTGTACAGAACCTGGATGAAAGCAAATATTTTCTTTTTTTTTAACTTTCAGACTAATTAGGACAGTGAGAAAAATTACATGCAAGATATTGTGGCTGTAAGATCTTTGGAAGAGAGGCTGCTGAGTGCTTCAAAGCTTGCTTTTATTGTGGAGGGGGCGGTGTGCAGATTTTGTACAGATTAAACTGGGAACTATCTGTTCTTTAGCAGGTGAATGTGGTTAGACCAGTACTTGGGTGAGTCTGCTCACTCTGTGTCAGTATCCTGAATTCTTTGTAGCAGGTTGTACTGCACTAATGGGACTGGCAGAATTCACACTGCAAAGTGAGCATGTGTAGAAAAGCCCTATATAACAGGACACCTCTTGTACCAAGTATTTGGTATCTGGAGATAAAAGGTCCCAGCTGACAGCTTTCCTAGTGGTAATGTTCCTACGGGTATATGTTAAGTTTATGTGTTAATTTTGCCTCCCAATGCCATTGCCTTGACTGAGAAAGTTGTACAAAAGGCTGTGCTGGTCATCCAGTTTCTGAGCTTAAAGGGGAAAGACCTCCACTACTTTTTCTTTTAAATGGTCAGTCTGGACACTGTAGTCCCTGTGGTGCTTTGGCTGCCCTTTTGCCACCCCTGGTGCACCATGCAGGGCATGGGAACAGGTATGCACTACAAATAGTGAGCAGGTCATGTGTGGGGAGCAGGTCATGACCATTGCAAGTGGAGGAGTGCCTTGAATCCCAGCAGTGTTTGCTAAGAGAAGCAGGCTTCTAATCGAGTCAGGGCAGAATTTTTAAAATAAACATGAAAATAAAAGTCCTGGATAGCTAAAGGGGATAAAATCTGTCTCCTTCTACCATAAGGTGACAGAAGAATCAGATAATTCTTCAGTTTCATAGTGTTTAAATCACACAAAAATTCAGCAGGTAAACACAGGATAAGCCAAAAAACACCATTATATTCCTTTTAAGACTATTCCTGTTTCCAAATTTCTTTGCAGTCCTTGGGAACGTTTCTTAATTTGGAAATAGAAAGGCTTATGCTTTGTGGTGGAACAGGAGAGATAATCTGCATTTTTGATACTTTTCCACCAAAAAACGTTGCCTGTGTAGTATTGCCCTCTGCTGGCACCAGTCTGAGGAGCTTCATAAGTCCCCTAGTGGAACAAGAGGTTTGTCCCCTTCCGAGGTGTCTTTCAGAGGATTCGGGTGCTCGTTCATGGTTGTGATCCATGAGGCGCTCACAGTTTAATTTTATTTTTCCACAGAAAATCTTCTACAAGCAGCGATTTTTTATAACACAGCTTTAAAAACATTAGAGGCTCCTGATAAAATTTCATTTTCCAGTGAATACTGTAAGAGTCATGTAGGACCTGCCCTTTGAAGGCAGTTGTATTACACATCAATGTGGTAGTGTATCATATACTCTGAAGTAACAGAAATTTCTTTTCTTCTTCTTTTCCCCCCACTAGTGTCACCTGATTCACTATCTGAGACTCAGCCATCACTTGATAGTTCTGAATTATTTGATTTGCACCTTTGACAAGCTGAAGTCTGTCTCCTCTGAAGACATTAAAATCACGGATGCTGTTTTTGACGGCGTGGAAGTGAGAGTGTTTGAACCTCCTGCGAAGGGAGATGAAAGCCTCAAGCGCAGCGTTGTTTACATCCACGGAGGGGGCTGGGCCTTGGCTAGTGCAAGTAGGTGTCTGTCAGTAATTAAATGGGATTCCAGTCTGCTTTTCTCCTAGCAGGAAAAGCCAAAAGCTCTTTTTCCTGCCAGGAATGGCAGTTTTGCTAAGATGTACCTGAATTCAGTAGTGACTGGCTCCACTCTGGTGGATCAAGTCTAAGGAGAGAGGGAGAAAAATACCATTAACACACAGCAGAAGTGCATATCTTATCTGCATGTGAGCTGCAAAAGGACTAAAAGGTTAATTTTGTTACATCCTGAGAGGGAAAAACAGCTTATTGATTCAATTTCTGTGATGCCTGGGTAGGCTGCTTGGGCCAGTCCCTCACTTTCTGAGGTAATGTGCAAAAGTCAGTCCTTGGTGATCAGGTTCCAGTGGCTACATATAAAGAAATTGCATGGGTTTACCCCATTTTCAGAGGATAATTAGCAGAAGACTGAGCTGATCTACATGGCATGCAACAGCCTTGCTAATGTTTGGTTCATAAGTAGCACCTGGTGGGAATGCACCCTGTTGAGCACAGACAGGAGTAGTGTGAAGCAAACAGGTAGAGGTTGGTTCCTCTTTGGGTTGCTCCTTAGGGACTACAGCCACCACTAGCATAATTAGATTGAAATTTAACGCTGTTTACTCCATTCATTTGGAAACCACAAACATGATCAGAGGAAGTGAGGTGCAGCTATAGGCAGTGATAAGGTAACCACTGATTCCTTCCACATTGTACAGGAGGAAAACAGCCTTGGCAGAGAAAGGGCATGTGGTTCCTGTGGCTGCTCTGAGATCCAGATCTGAGAAGTCTTCTCCCTTTTCCTTCCCCATTGCTCCCATGACATCCTGAAGTCCATACAGCCCTAATGCATTCTACATCTTCCTCCACAGAAAAAGAACAGCAGTGGATTTTTACAAAATGATACAAAACATGGACTGTATTGATTGCATTTGGACTCTGCATATACAAGTCATTTAGACTATGATTTGAGTGAGATTCAGGTTCCTAAATAACTTTAAAATTTGGTCTTCACATGCCTTTGGAAATTCCAATCTCTTTGTCCTGTAGCAGTTAAATATTTTACTCCTCTTCCTACAGAGGAATTGTGCTTTGAGATGGTTTTCTTAGAACTGCCTAAGGGATATTTGTTAACCTCCTGCCTGCATCATTTGTTCTGTAATAGTTTGCATATGACTCTTGTGCAAAAGTTTATATTAAATTGCTGCACTTTGTCAGGATGATTATAGCTTGGTGTTGTCAGATGTATCCCTGAGTCCAGGGTGCAGAAGTTAATGACACAATTGCTACACCTAAATGTTAACTTCTAAGATTGGGTGCTTTAGAAAATGTTTAGTGTCCTAGTGTATTTTATAGTACTGGGAACCAACAATTAAGTAACTGGAAAGGAACAAAATTAAAGATAATCAGTCCTCTGATAAATAGGATAGCTGTGATTAATCCTCCCTTAAATGAGTAGCTGAGCTGACATTAATAGGGCAACTCATTTGAATCAAAGCAATGCATGCTATAATAAAATGAACCACAGGCAGTGACTCATACAGCACTCTCCCTGGATGTTAATGCCCCCAAACCACTGGGTGCCTTAGATTTTGGCCAACTGAGAAAATTGTGATAGGTGGGTGAAATGACATGTCTGAAGTCACCAAGAAACAGATGAGGAAGGAGGCATTAGACTGCAGGATTCTGAAGGCATGAGTTATGTTCCTTCTGCTGAACTATGGATTTGGCACTCGATCAGTTGCAGGCTGATCTCATTTACTTTGCTTGTATCTGTGATGGCTGTATGTTTTCTGAGGCTTTTGGACAGTTTTGTGACTATTGACTCACATGTCCCTAACACCATGTCCTTCCCTTCCAGGAACAAGCCTTTACAACAATCTCTGCAGAATCATGGCTGAATCTCTGAACGCTGTTGTTGTCTCCGTCGAGTGAGTAATCTAAAATTGATCAAGTAGTTTTAAGGTATTAGAAATATGTAACATCATTCTTTTACCTTCTCCTTCACTAGTAGCTTCTCTCTAAGGCTTTAACTTGGACAGTCATTTTCTATACCAGTCTGATACCTTTATCCTTTTAAAATTACAACTAATCGGAATGGTATCAGAAATTCATTTGGGTTTCTGATTACTTTAGAATACACTGAGGTGTCTAGCCCTGCTGCTCTCACAATGTCCCACTGTTCCAGTCCTCTCTTTTAAGCCTTGTGCTTCCATCAAGAGCAGAAGACTGCCAGACAACAGAGAAGTGGGGCTGCTTTTTTAACATGTTGAACAATTACAAGGCAAACAAACCTCTTGACTAGCTAAATACATTATCTAGACGACTCCAACTTGATTGGTACTGTTCCCATCTTTATTATCAGCTTCAATATTTTCTTCTGCAAACCCAACCACTTGATAAAATTACTCAGTTTTCCCACCTGCAGTTCATTACATACCAGGCTTTGGGATCTAATTGCTACTTAATTACATGGAGTTGATTTTACTAATTTAATGCTTATTGTAGTGTACTTTAAAGGGTTGGGGGGTTTGGTTTTTGGTTTTTTTTTACTGCTTTGGTTTTCATTATTAGAAACAAGGAAAACTACAAAAGCAGCTGTTGGTTATTCCAGACAAGCAGCAATCACAATATTGAAAAGTTCCTTATTATTCCTTTTCTGATTTATGCTGTTTTCATTCTGCCTATTGTTCTGAGTTACTATTACTTCTTCTCCTTAACCATTATATCCTTCAATCGAGGTGTTTGTATTCAATTAGTCAAGTCTCATTGGTCTAATTGCACATCTCACTTTCACAATCTATACACAGTTTACTGTTAGGCAGTTTTGCAAGGAGCTCCCAAAGGACACTCTCAGATTCCTGTATATACAAGATACAGATTGCTTTCTGACAGCAGGTCACAATTGGAGTTTGAAAGTTGTAATCTTAAGTTTAAAATTTATTCTGCATATGAAACTTCTTTAGCTTACAGTCTAAAGATGTTTTGAGTCAGAGAGCTGAATTTTGGTTCACTAGGCTCTACTGAGAAAGTCTAAAATCTGTAGTTTGAATAGCTGAAAACTTTGCTTTGTACCATGAGGCCTAGTAACAATTCTTGGATGTCAAATTATTCAGAAAATACAAATTGATTTCTCCTGCACTGTTGTTTAGAAGCTGAGAAAACCTCATGTCTGGGATTCAGCTGCTGGCTCTTCCTGGCAGACTGTTTGCTCTCTTTGTGCCTCCATCCCCCACCTGCCCAATGGGTTTATTTCTGCTCCTTTCCTTGATAAAGGAAAGGAATTAGTGTATCCTTTGCACTGGAGGAAATTTGCATTACTTAATTTCTTGGCTATTGTTCACTTCATGGCACAGAGGGATAGCAAGGTTTATTCTCTCCTGACATCACTAAAAATTTGGGAAGCAGAAGTGCTTAGGTGTTTGGCTCAGCCAAACAGGAGCGTGTTGGGCGTGTATGATTTAATCTCCCTCCTACTTCTTAAGGTGGGACTTCAAAACCAGGCAGAGTGGCCTGACTCCCTTGCCATGGGTGTTTTAACTACTGATTTTCATAATGCATGATGAAATCCTCCATTGGGTAATCCTAGGAAAGTGCTGCACAATTTTACACTGTCTTGGTATAATTCATGTCTAGTAGGTTCATTTTAATTTTTCCAAATTAGAACGATAATGATAAGATTAAGTCTTACATATGTATTACACACCTCCTACTTTTTCTATACTATTTATCCTAATGAAATACTGATTTCCAGTAAGGCTTATCTGATATCACCTGTAAATCCTAAAGGAGAGGTACAATAACATCAGTACAATAAAGCAGAGGTAAGAATTGTTTCTCATCCCTTTTCTTTTGCAGATACAGGCTGGTGCCCGAGGTGTGCTTCCCCGAGCAGTACCATGATGCTCTTCGTGCAACAAAGCATTTCCTGCAGCCTGATGTCTTAGCTGAGTATTCAGTGGACCCCAGTCGAATTGCAATCTCTGGGGACAGTGCAGGAGGGAATCTGGCAGCTGCTGTGTGCCAGCAGGTATCATGCACTGAGAGTTCTGTATTGCACTACAGCAGTCCAGCCCAGAGAGGCTGGCAGGTTCTTTGTGCTGCACCATCACAAGGCGATGTGCCACCCCTAAAAACAGAATGGTAGAAAGCCAGAATCTGCTCATGTTTCTTCTGTAAAGTGACTCAGTCACTATATGAATCACATAGGTTGTGATGTGTTGTTACATTCACAAGTTATTATGGACTGGAGTTCAAGAGTAAGGAGCTAAATGACTTTTTTTTACCTATTTTTCTGGTGAACTCCTTATTTTTTCCAAGTAGGCATAATTTCTTAATATGGTTGCCTATTTTTAGATAATTGTCTCTGGAAATATGCTTTTATTTCTTTCAAATACAAATGAAGGACAAAATACACAGTAAATGGAGCTTAATTCTTCTGTTGAATTGTCTTTCTGTAGCATTTTTCAGTTTGAAAGAAATTTCTTTTGTGTATCTGCAGTTTAAATGTAATCTGAATTTGATCTAGTAAAGAGTTTAAAGGAAACCCGAGGCAAGTAATATTTTTCATGGTTGAATGAAATATTATTATTACTAACTTATTCCTGTTTCCTTAACCATTAGTGATAAGAAAGCAGATACCATGTCCAGACAACTAATTATCATGACACCCTTGTAATATTGAATTAGGGTGGAATAATTAATAAGAGGCAGTTACAATAAAAGCTTCAATACTGAGGACTGATAAACATGATAGCAGCACGTTTTGGGAAATTCAATTTCCTGATGCATAATTCTTTTTAAACAAGATGAGACACGATAGGGCACTGTGCGTCTCGTAGGATGGAACAAAGTTTGCTGACTCTTCCAGTAAGGCAGTCAGGGGGCACCAGATTGATGGACTCAAATCAAATGTAGGTTGAGTCAGACAGAGGGAGATGCTTCTGTATCAGGTGAGTCTTTGCTAGAAGAAATTGTGGATGCCAGCAATCTGCATTGGCTGAAAACAAACCAATTAGATCAATTAATGGAAGAAAAATCCATTAAAAGCTCTTAAAAGCAAGAGTAGCTCCTTTGATTCAGGAAATCCTTCTGTTGCCACTTGTTCAACTGGGCACTGTGTTAGAGAAATGCTACTTCACATGTTTTGTTGTTCATACACCCTTCAATAAGCTTAGGTCACTGATTTCTGTTGGGGATGGCCACCTTACAAGAGGAGAAAAAGATAAGACTGCTGATACTTCAGCCAAAACAGCCACATTACCTGTATAAGAGCAGAAATCTCTCTAAAACTGTCAAATGAATGTTTGCTTTTCTGCAGTCCCACACTGATACGTGTTTATCTTCTTTATAATTTTAATTCTGTCCTGCGTTTATCGCACAGCTCAGCAAAGACGAGGATTTGACCGTCAGACCGAAACTGCAGGCCTTGATTTATCCAGTCCTCCAGGCGTTTGACTTCAACACCCCTTCCTACCAGCAGAACATGAACATGCCCGTGCTGCCTCGCTACGTCATGATCAACTACTGGATCGATTACATCAACGGCAACTACGACTTGGCTCACGAGCTGCTGATCAACAACCACACGGCCCTCAACGTCGGCCGGGCGCTCTCCTTCCGCGCGCGCCTCAACTGGACGTCGCTGCTGCCTCCCTCCTTCAAGAAGAACTACAAGCCGGTGGTGCAGACCACGGGCACGGCGGCCATCGTGGAGCGGCTGCCGGCGCTGCTGGACGTGCGGGCGGTGCCGCTGCTGGCGGACGACGCCACGCTGGCGCGGCAGCCCCGCACCTACGTGCTGACCTGCGAGAACGACGTGCTGCGCGACGACGGCGCCATGTACGCCTCGCGCCTGGAGCGCGCCGGCGTGCCCGTCACCCTCGACCACTTCCACGACTGCTTCCACGGCTGCATGATCTTCACCGTGTGGCCCACGGATTTCTCCGCCGGCGTGCAGACCAGGAACAGCTACATCAAGTGGCTGGATGAGAACCTCTGAAGGGAGGGCGTGTGGCTCCGGTGTCTGTGCTGGCAAAAGAGCAAACAATCAAAAAAGTGCACTTTTCCCAATTCTGACTCCGCTGTTCAGTGCAGCTGCTGGGGGTACAGACCACTAACTGCAGCATTTTCTAGCTCCATTTGCCTTGCCCAGTAAAGAATTTTTAGAAGTATTTTTTTCAAAGCAGTTTTTTTTCCACTTTCTCCCAGATGATATTGCCAAACATAATCACGTATTGAGCAGGGAGATCAGGACTCCTGCAGGATTCTTACCTGGCTGCAACTTTTGAGCTTTGACTCTTAATTAGGTACAAAGGCCCTGGCTTTCAAGTGCTGTGGGATAAATCCTAACCACCTACATCTACTTCTGAATATGTAAAAATGTGAGCTAGTTTACAGCAGTCTTGAGCATCTGATGTCACAGGGAGAACACTCACCTTGGGCAGCAGGTCCCTGCATTTGAATGACAAGCACAGATTTAGGTGTTGGCTTTTTGCCACAGACAAACAGCTCATTTAAAATTTTTAAGATATTTTTTACAGAAGCTCTTCTAGACAGTTAAAATGATGCTCAATGAGTCTCTTAGCAAAACCTGTAATTCAGCTTTGGAATTTGGTCTTTACCGCCTTTTAATTATTTATATTTTAAGAAGGTACAGGACTAAATACATTTTCAATAAAAAGTATGATAGCATAAACACAAATAGGCAAGATCAAATATCAGGTGTAGCAGGAGAATCCAGCTTTCCTGTGTGAGTGACCTTCAAAGCTGACTACTTATTTGGCTAAAGAATGTGACTTCACCTATGTTGAAAACCTTAGTTGTATGACCTCCTTAGAGAAAATACTGACCTTACTACAAATAGTCTGCTGTGTGGTTTGCACTAATGTTTGTAATTAATAGAAGTTTTTGTTCATTGACTTTTCTTTTGTGTTTGTAGTTTTTACTGTATTTCCTGCTTCAAGAAAGGAGGAAAGCAAGTGAATAGAGGTGGGTTCCAATCTGTACAGATATTTAATTCTGTACAATATTTAATTCTGAGCTTTGCAGCTGAACTTTGTCTCAGTCATGTAGACTGCTCCAGGCAAGGTGATCTCGCTATTGGGCAGCAAATCTGTGCAGTTTGAGCCAGTCTATAAAGTTTGGATGGGCAGGACAGGGGAGTGAAACCACTTTGTGACTATCTTTTGTCCAGGCTGCTCACAGCTTGCAGAAATGAAGGTGGTGTCAAAAGCCCAGCGGCACAAAGGAGAGAGTAGGAGATTAAATTCATCCTCAGCTTTACCACAGACCCTGTGAGTCCCCAGGAGAACAATGTCATCTCCTTACACCCCACTTCTGCAAGGGAGGGAGGAATGTCCTACCTCACAAAGGAGCTGTGAAGCTGAACTCTCAGGCATGGGTGAAGCACACAATGTGAATGTGACTGCAGGAACTCTGCAGCTCCCATGGCTTTTGACTTTCCATCCATCTCCAAGAGCTGGCTCAGAACAGCCTGTCCCACGTCAAGGATGCTGCTGGGCTCATGTCCTGCTGAGCAGTTTGTTCCCCTCTGTCCTGGTTCCTGTCAGGAACCCTGAGGTGAGGCTTCTTAGCCCTTAGCCTTGGAGATCATGAGAAAGGCAATTTCATTAAAGCATTCCTTATATGAAATTTCCTTATGAAAGTTCTTCAAAAAACCACATCAGGTACTGATCAAACTGCCTTCTGACATTTAAAACATATACAGAGCAGTCCCCTTTCACTGGGATTTAAACTTAAATAGGAGAATGGCTTTGCTGAATCACTGCTTCCTGGAAACACCAGGTTGTTAACGTGGTCGTGTGTATTAAGAAAAACCATTAACGAGACAAGGCCTGGATGTCAGCTCAGTCATGCAGGCCAAAATTCATTCCCAGCACAGTTCACACGAAGATCACAAGGCAAAGCTTTTTCAACAGTGGCCCAGATTCTTCCATTTAGCATTTACAAAGGCTTGGTGAAATTAGAGCAACCAAGTGACAATCTCAATCAGAATAAATTTTGATCAAGAAACCCAATTAGCACTGCAGAGGAATTCAAACTTTTTATCTGGATTTAAACCCTTTCCTCCTTTTCCCCATAAACACAGCTTCATAGATTGTATGTTTTAAACAGACAGCAAGAGAAGTTGCATCCATTCAAAAGACAAGTTACTAATCTGTTCCAGAGTCCTTTCTCTTTATATGGAGACAGCTACATTCACCTGACTTTAGACTATGACTAAAATAGTAAAAAAAAAAAAAAAAAAAAAAAAAAAATCACTATACTGAGTTACAACAAAAGGTTTCTTCCTGAATTTCCTGCTTAAAGAATAAACCCATATCAGAAAAGATATCATATCTACTCACTGTCATTAGTATAATATGTGGCTATACTATGATTGTATGTCATAGTATAACTGTAGTACTGGAAGAAAATAGTTAATATTCCTATAGATCTTATAATAATGACATTTTCCTGAGAGCTTTCTGCAAAGCTTTAGGTCAGCATTTGTTTATAGCTAAGTTATAAATATCTGTTATAAACCTAAAATATAATTGCTGCTGGTTTTTTTGGTTTTTTTTAACTGAAATGAAAGGGAGAGCTGGAATATATACACATATATATATTCATGGAGTTGGTTGTAAATTTCCTTCATGCACTGAAGCACATTAAAGTCTTGGCACAAGAGATGGTAGTAAGTTTATAACTGGAGTGGATGTGTTTACGAAGCTGCCAGCAGCCTGGTGCGATAGCCGAGAGAGATCACAGCACCACGTGGATGTGATGTACAGTATTAACTACTTCTGTCAAAGCATCTGGACTGCTTTGATCTTGCAGCCATGTGGTTTAATACCTGATAGCTGCAGAGATACCTGAGGGATCGTACAACATGGAAAAAAAGAGGTCTGAGTTCCAGCTCTAAAAAGACCTTTAGTTCACAGTCGCACAAGACACTGATCAAATTCAGTGTAAACCTTCAAGTGAGTGTTAGTCCCAACCCAGCTTTCCTCCTCCTGTGCTTTGTTCTCCTTTGCACACAGTCCCCATTTCCCAAATTGAAAGTTTAGGGTTGTTTCCTGCTGTGTTGCTGCAAACTCCTAGGAACTGACTCAGGGTTACAGAACACAGATGCCTGATAGCAAGGGATTAAGATTAATCTGTGTTACAACACCTGGATTTGTTCCTGCATTTTCCTACTTCTCCAAGTGTGTCCTCAGGCACATCTTGCACCTTCATCCCTTTTCACAAAGGTTATTTCACAAAGCAGTTTAGGGCACTTGCACGATGTAGGATCAGAGCAAGTGTTTGTAGCAATATTCCACCTGCGCATGGTAGAGTCTTTTCAGAGATGTTCAATAAGCTTGTTTTCTTATCATGGTTTTGGCTAGGTACCTTTTGTAGGCAGCTTTTCTTCCCTTCTACAATTAGACTCTATTCTTCTATTGCAAAAATCTCTTGTTCCTGATGTCTATCGAAGCATTCAGATGAAAGCTTTAAAAAAAAATACAGCAAAATCAATGAGCATAACACAACCTGTAGTCACTCTTATCCTGCTTCATAGACCTGAGAACTATATTAGTGGGTCCCTAATATTTTGGCTAATACTTGCAGGAATAGATGGAGATTTTGTCTCCCTAGCTGAGGACCTCTTAAAGGATGGGTGTTCAACATTTCTGAAAGCCCAGACCTCTTTTAAGAGGTTTCATGACGCATAAAAATCACAAATAAATTGAGTTTCCTAACCTTCATGTAAGTAATGCCAGAACTGCGTTCCCAGTCAAAGCAGAAAGGCCATTGTGAGTTTTAAGCCCTACAAACTAGATAGAAATACTTCATCTTTAAAACATTATTTTGTAGTATTTGGGCCTCTATATTTTTAATCTCTTACCAAACTTTACAAGAAACTTTTAAAAATAAAAATACTGTAAGCAGGTAAACTTGAGTTAAACCTTTTAAGCTGCTATGATCTGTAACAGTGATATTGTTAAAAAAAAAATAAATCTAAAACCAGCTGGTTTAATGTTCTCATATTTATGCTGTTATGAAGCCCAATGTACAACATACTTGATGTGAATGCATTCAGTACCTTATGCATGACTGGTTTTTGCTTTGTCCCAGAGCAGGGGAAAGATTTGTAAGATCTCATTACCAAGTGTGATTTGAGATGTGCTATCAAAATGAAGAATAAACAAATAAAGTGAAATATACCTGTGATTTATTTTATTTTTCCCAAGACCACTGGTTTTGTATTTCTGAGCATTTCCAATCTGATTTTTGATTGTTTTCAAGGCAGGAGACTTCTGTATGTCCATGGGCTGTGAGGGTCACCTCCTTGTACTTCATTTCTGCCAAATGGTGACCACATCTGCTGGTGCTGAAGAGTGGACAAACCTGCACTGGGGCTGTTACTCTTCTTCAAGATAAACAGCAGAACTTAACATTCTCCATTCCAATGTATAAACACATTTTTATGTGTATATAGGTTGTGTATATGTTTGAAATTTGGTTTAGCCATCAAAAGTCCAGGTTCCCTTTTCATTCCTGTTTGACATCCATTCACATTGTTTTTTTCTGACCTGTAACCCATTTTCTGCCCCTGCTCTCTCATTTATTGATCACAGCAGCATTGCTTTTGAGATACCCTAACGTGGCAGGTTTCCCATTTTGTCCAGCAGGCTCCTGTGCCTTTCACAGATTACAAAGCTTTTCTCCTGCTGAAAAAACGTGGTGGGGAAAAAATGCTTCAAAGGACTTACAACCCTATTTTTTAAGCCAGCAAAAGTCATATTCCTACTTGCATGATATTGAATGCATGAAACTGAATGCATTAAAACCAGTCTTGATCACACAGAACATTTTTTTCCAGAGATGTTTTCTCATGTCATAAAACATCTGACTGTGTAGGGCTTGGCAAGGCAGGGCAGTGCCTTCCTCAGCCACATCCCGTGCCTGGCTGGGGCTGGAGCTGCTCTCCCTGTGCCACATTTCCCACCTGCAGCTGGAGCAGCAGCCACATGGGGCTGTGCCTGATCCAGATGTGCCTGACACAGCTGGATCCCAAAATCCTGCACCCCGCCTTGTTCTGCCCCTTGCCTCACACTTAGAAAACTATTTGGAGCTGGGCCATGTTTTATTTTGTTTATCCTCAGGGGAGACACATGTTTTCTCCTTGCTCTTACTTCCAGTTCTTCTGGCACTAATCCAATGGCATTTACTTATTTTATAAATGTCATCTAAATAGATAGCAGCACATCATTAATATGAGACTAAATTCACCCCTAAGGTAAAACTAATATTTTTTCCAAATTATTTTCTACAGCATTTTAAAGGGTTTATCAGCTATTCAGCAAGAACACAGTCAAAATAAAACCAAAAAAGAAACCCTGCAATGGCTCCTTTAAAGCTGTTTTTACAGAAACAATATTTTAAATAACTTTTTTCTGGTTTTATAAAATGTAGAGAACACTAAATACTTCCATTACAACAGCTGTTTATTTCTGAAGCAGAATCTCAAACCCCAAGAATCTCAAACTTCCCATCATATGGCAGTCTAGGGGTATAAGAGAGGCAAAATTTGTTAAAGGAGAGAATAAATGTGATATTAAGAGACTTAAATCAGCGATAATAATTGGTGTTATAGAAAAGTCCCTCTGCCACAAACGCTGTGCCAGTGTCAGGACAGGTGCAGGACACTCAGTGCCCCCGAGGGGTGGGAAGGAATAAAGGGAATTAGTAATTTCACAACAATCTAATTCCGGTCTGAGGTTTTTAGGTAGAAGACAAATCATTTGCAGTGCAGCCAGCAGAGGGAGCGTTTAAAGCAAGGTCTGCTGCAGGAATTTCTGAAGCCACACTGTCAAACAGGAGGTGTTATTGTGGGAACTGCACCAGAACTGTTGGGGCAGCCCAGCCGTGACTCGTGAATTCATGCACAGACAAGGCAGGAGAGCCATGCCAGGGGGGAATTACTCAGAGTTCTCGCAAAAAAAAATAAAAAAAAATAAAATAAAAAAAAAAAACCAACCCAAACAAACAAGCACCTCATAGCCATTCCATCCCAGGGATACCCCATCCCTGGAAGTGTCCAAGGCCACGTTGCACAAGGCTTTGAGAAAGCCGATGCAGTGGAAGGTGGAATGGGACAAGCTCTATTGTCCCTTCCAACCCAAACATTCTGTGGTTCCTCGGCATGAATCACGCAGGCCTTGGCAGGCTGTGAGGGTGTTTTTCAGGTGATCTGGCCCTTAGTTCAGACCCTGGGACAGGCTGGGCTGTGTGCAGTGACCCGGGCTCGCTGTAGCTGCCCGAGCATGTCTGCAGAGCCAGAAGGGCGAGGAGTGCAGCCAGGGGAAATGTGTTTCTCTGTGCCCAGGGCATGGGGCGTGCTCATGGAGAGCTGCATTGCCAGGGCTGCCTGCATCTGTCTGTGTCAGTGGGGGCTGCAAGGAGACATAAACAGCATCTCCAAAAACCTACAGAGAGCTGGGAGTGCCCTGGAAATGGTGCAGGGTGATACCTGAGGAAGTGGGGCTATTTCTGCTCTCGTGCTGTGGCATCTCTGCTCTTTTAATGGTGCATAAGGCAACTCATTGTAAGAAAAAGGCAACTTTTACAGCCCTTGTACACCCTGCTCCTGATGCTGGGAGGAGATAACCTTTCCAAGAACCCTGCTGGCAAAGCAGCCCTGCTGCTCTGCTCTGCTCTGGGGGCCGTGGGAGCCAGGGTTGAGTGGCACAGCAGCAGCAGCTGGGGTTTGAGTTATTTTAGCTATCAGATGAGTTATCTTGGCTGTTTCTCACACCCAGCCACGTGTACATGCTCCACGCTGTGTCTGCAGCCATTGCATCCCCTGCCACAAATGTGCTGTGGGTTATGGAGCACTGCAAAGCCAGAACAGCTCAGCAAAGCAGCAGTAGTGCACATTTAGTGTGACTGTATCTATTCATAAGGGGTTTTTTCCTCCCCAGAAGATCCTATGGTGAGGAGTCAGACATGCCTCCTCATCTCCCTGTGCAGCTGGAGGCTCAGCATGAGGGGTCAGGGCCTGCACCCAGCGCTGGGGCTCCAAAAATCCCTGAAAACAAAAAAAAAACAACAAACCTGCACAGAAACCCCTCCAAAACTCCCGATTTCCTTTTGCATTCCTATTTTTCCTCAGTGATTCCCCTGCACAAGTGCAGCAGAGCCTCCCAGCCTTTCCAAATACCATACCATTGCAATTCCTGTTTTTGGTGGTCTGTGTGGACAGTCAGGGGAGGGAAGATGCCACTTGTCATTTCACAGTCACAGCAATGCCCTGGAGGCACAGCCTAAGCCTGGATTTGAGCACAAAGAACCAACTGTGCAGTTCAGGTCCTGTGTGATCTGCTGAAATATCTCTGCTTAATCAGAGATCAGATATTGTACATTTGTATTTCATGTTCAGCCCCAGAGTGGTGGCCTACAGACAGGACATTTGGGATGCAAAGAGTCTCTTTGGACACAGATTTAATTGGGTGTTGGACAACTCACAGCAGAATTATGAAAAATCAAAGACAGGGCTACAAATGTGAGAAAGGCCTACAGAATTGCATGCCTGACCATGAGGGACATGGTGAAGCTGGTGAAAAAGCAGCTTTCAGCCTGAGTCAATGTATATTTTTAAGCACACTTTCAGAAACTACTTACTATAAATTATACTTGTGC